CACATCAGTTCTCTGGTCTGTTGCTTTTGCCATAAAAACGCCCCCTTTGGGGGTCTTCTGGAGTGGAAATCGTGTTCAGTTTCTTGATCTGAGTGCTGGTGACCAGATGGGTCCAGTTTGTGGAAATCCATCAAATTGTGCACTTAGGATGTGTGGGCTTTTTAGTATGAATATCTTAATAAATTGTTTGCTTGTTTTTAATGGATGTTCTTTTCTCAGTGAGAGGAAGTGGGTGACTGGGGGACAAAAGAAGGAAACATTTCCACTGTAAAACCCCTTGTACTTGTTTTTAATTTTGTACCACATGCATGTACTATCTACTTCAAAATTAATTTTTTAAGTGGATTCCCCTTAAAGGGAGGTAGCTTTGAAAGTCTTCTTTCCCTATCACCAGATTCCTGATGTCAAAGGGATTCCACAGACAAAAGATCATGAAAGGCAGCAATTTTCTATAAACAAAACACCAAGAAATAACCTAATTATTCCCTATAAAGACCAGGGCTGTGTAAACAGTGATCTGACTACATGATGAAACTGTCTGCAGCCACAAAATAGAGGAAGACGAGACAAACTATGGGAGGGAAGCTATAGCACACACTGAGTAAAAAACGTACAAATACAAAATAAAATGCTTTGTATAATAATTACAATGATGTAAACAGGACATATGAATGTGGACACAAAATGAATTCATCTGGGTTGGAAAAGTGAAGTTACTTTTCTTTCTCTTCCTTTTACTATGGTAAATATACATAATATTTATCATTTTAACCATTTCTAAGTGTATAACTCAGTGGCATTAAATATATACACAACGTTGTGTAACCATCATCGTCTATATCCAAGACATTTTGTCATCCTCCACATAAAGTCTGTTCCCATTACAAAACAACACCCCATTCCTCCCTCTCTACAAACCCCTAGTAACATCTTGGTACACCACCTAGCCACATGCTTTGCCAGGATTCTATCACCTTTCTGATTATTCTTTCATCCTTATCAAAAATTCCATATTGTCTTCAAACGTGTCCTATGCATTTATTGACTTCTTGGGTGCTGGATAACTCAGGTCAAAAAGAATGACCTCCATTAGTTTAAAACAAAGACAACTTTCTTCCACAAAACATTACAATAGCAAGAACAGACTCTGCGCCCAGCACAGTCCCTGATATCCAGCAGGCCCCTGACATCTGGGGCACAAATCAGTCCACTTCTGCTCACAGTGAAAAATAACCTCACCTGGCATGTCTGAAACTCACTCTCCAGCCCCATTCAGGTACCAACCCATTTTCGAAACCCATCAAGACCAATGTCATGGGAGCCTCCTCCACAAACACAGGCAGCGTTCATTTCCTGTAGGATTGCTGCCTGAGCTATACAGGCAGCAGCACTTGCACATTGACAGAAATCCAGTCGGCATCCTTCACTGGATAGAAGGTCCACTTTAAAGCTGTGCTTCATTTCCAGTAAGTTTTATTTTTCAAATAAAAATTCTATTCAAAGTACATTATAACTTATTGAAGCTGGCTTTAAGAAAAAAAAATATACTGCTGTCAAAATAAAAATCTTTTTTCTTTTCTAGATATCTGCAAGTCACTTTTTATAATTATTATTTCACACTAGTTCTTCAATACAAGAAAAGAAGAAAAAGCTGGCCTATTCAAGAAATCTAATTTGAGAGCCTCCCAACATTTTGAAAGCATTACTGTGACTTTGGAAACACACACTTGCATCCTGCCAGAAAATTGAGCATAAGCTTTCTGTATGACCACCTCCTGGGCACTTTCTTACTTGCTGTCCACCAGGTTGTATGCTTGACATGTCCTGGTATCAGCTCATTGGCTTAACAACTGTTGCAGTGCTGAACGCAACAGCAAGTTGTTACCCTGTAAATATTAGTGCAGATCGTTAATGCAGATACTAGCGCTAAAGTGACAGTAATGCCTCACACAGTGTACTGTTATTAAGTCCAAAGGTTTGTGCACTGCACCGACCCAGAATCTGATCAGCACCATCATGAGGCAGAGAACGCCATCAGTGGACCCTTCAGCAGAGAAAGCATTAAATGACCTCTTAAGCGATCTTCCCTTCTACAGGGAGCAGATGAACATCACCTTATCTATCCAGAAAGTTAAAGCCAATCACAACACGCCAGTTGGAACAGCATAAACAGGAGCAGAACCAAATCATTACAGGAAACATCCTCGCTTTCCTCTGAAATTGCTTTAGGATTGTAGATCAAATTCTTCCCCAAATGATCCTGCTCTGCATGTCCTAAAAAGTAAGGTGCCTTTGTTCAGAACTCTTACAAAGAAATGCTGCCTTGCATTTCGTTTGATGCTTGCAAATTTCAGGCTCTGCAGATAGGCAATTCCAGTAAAAAGGAGAAAAGGAAAAAGAACTCAGGAGGCTCTTGGACAGTCCCCCAAACCCATCGCCCTCCCACAGCAAACCGGTAAGTCCAGGCTGTTCCAGGAAGGGAGATGGGGAGAGACAGGTGTGTGTCTCTGACCTTTGGCTTTGGGGAAATGTGGTCCACAGTTGCACCTTTGGGTCAGATGCTGCAGCCATCAAGGCCACAAAATCTGAAATAAACATTCTGGGTCATATGATAAGTCTATGTTTAGTTTTTTTCTAAACAAAATTCACCTTGAGGTTGAAAGTGACTCCATGAAGTTGAGTTTCATCCGCAAAAATAAGTGCAATATTTTCTGTATTCTTCCTACAACAACAAAAACACTCTTGTTTGGGTAGGCTTCCCAGCTTTTCCCTGTAAATCAAGATGAGGCAGTAGATATAGTCACGGACAAAGACTGAAGAAAAGAGACAAATCCATTTCCAGCATCCATGGCCTCTGACTCTGTCTTGACCCTGAAACAGAGGTTTTCAGCATACTGCTGCATAGGAAGATGGAGGTTCAACACAGGGATGTGAACAGCAACAACCAGAGGAAGCTTTGTGGGCTCACCCCTGAGGGCTTCCTCAGGGGCCCCTTCTGTTCTTGGATTTTTCCTAGGTAGGAGCCATCCTTCTTTGTCTCTTTGTATGCCCTGGAACTTTGGGCAGAAAACTTACCATTTGGAATATTATGACATGACAACTAGGGAAATCAGATTCTCCCCCTCCCCAGCATTTCTGGGGGGTGCTGACTGCAATCGATGGTGTTAGTTTCTTTAGGGGATATTCTGATCCAACCCTGAAAGGTCTGTATTCTTTGTCATGTGTGGCCACTGAAGACTTTGATCTGTTAGCCTCAAGATCAGCCAGAGATCCTGAGTTTAGTGGGTCTTAGGATGTCCTCAAGGGGAAAGAGGGCAAGGGAACTCTGTATGTGACAGGGAGAGCGACTGTCTGCTTTGGTGTAGAGAAAGAGCGTGGTGGACTGCATGCAGTTCTCCTTTCATTCTGGCACACAGAAGACTAGGTTTCCTAGCCCTCTTGGTTTTCGAATGAACTTGTGGCTACTTATGCCCAAGGGCATCACTTTTCAGCCAAAGGACAAAATAGGATGTGTAAGGCCCCAGGTGCTCTTGGTGTCCTTCACTGGCAATGGAAGGCGTGAGTTTCAGGTGGTGTAGCAACAAGGTCATGGGGTCTCCATCAGCCTTGCCCAATGAGACTTGGGAAGCAGGGTTCCCTTCACCCCGGTGACCAATGTTTCATGTAAATCTGAGGAGAAATACACTTTTAGTCATGGATTTCTTAATCTTTGCTTTTAATTTCTTACTAGAGCATTACCTAAGCTTGTCCTGAAGATTACGATGACCTACCCTCTAAGATTGTCTAAAGGGTGATTTTCTCAGACCAGAATTGGTAGAACCTCATGTTGCTGTGGTCAGAAGTCATGTCTGCTAACAGCTGCTTGTCACAGATGGGGGCCCTGCCAAGAGACTCTGAGTCTGATGGGGAGTATTGCATGTGGAAAGTGTATGGAAGTGTTCTGGAGAGATATCCCTATGGGAAGTTCGAAAAGCAGAGATGATCAAAGGAGAAGCTGAAGCACAAGCCCATTTCCACTGGGTCTCAGCCAACCCTCAGGGATCTCTGGAGCTGGGACGGCCCTTTGGTGTTGTCTGGAATTGAGACAAGGGATCCAGGCTTCTTACACCCTTATCTGCCAGATAAGGTCCCTGGCTGTCCCTGGAGAGGGCTGCTTCCTCAGGTTAGGTGGTTCCCTATGCTGTGGGCATGTCCTGTGAGGGAAAGAGCTGTGAGCCGTCCTCAACCAATAGTCTCAGGAGCTGCGGGATGGATGCCTTGGCCTTGAGCATGAGTCTGGGTTGAGTCTCAATGTTTCAACGGCACTTCTCCTTCACCGTGGTCTTCCTTCCCAACCCAGCTAATAATCTCCTGATCTGAGGAAGTCCCTGGGAGGACTTAAGTAGAGCTCTGCCTTTCCCTGTGATTGGCTGAGAGAAAGGCATTGGGGAAGACCAGAATCTCTCTCTCCAGGATTCAGACCCTCTTACCTGGGGACTTCTGGAGAGCTCCAGAAGGGTTCCGACCTCAGCTGACAGTGCTGAAGTTGTTCCTGTAACGGTGGCCATGGATTTGCTGTAGCTGGGCGCTTGTAGTTAGGGAGAGTCCGATTCCCTCCAGAGAGCCAGAACAGGGTGCTCTCCAAGGTCTTGGGGTCACGGGGACAGGCCTGGTAGACATCGAAACCCAGGGGCAGGTTGGTGAATGGAGGGGCCTTCTCTTTGGTCTCCACAAGGGTGAAGGAAAGGCCAGTCCATCCTGGTAATTCTTCCAGACACACCTAAGCCGAGGAGCAGCATTCGGGAGAATGGTCGAGTCATGCCATTCAGGGACAAATGCTAAGCCAAGCCCAGGGAAAGTCAAGGGTCTGGACTCAGGTTACCCGTCCAGAGATGCTCCTGTCTTGGCAGATGGAGGTGGGGTGAACATGGGTCCCAGGGCTCTAGAACCCCCTGGCATGGCTCTCTCATTGTGATGAGGCAAATCGTCTCCAAGCCAGCAAGACAGGTTTGCAGGGCACTGTGAGTGGGGGGAGATGGCATTATGCTGGATGGTATGGCTGTCAACTGGACAGATTTTTTGTTAGCTGCCATAAATGGAAGATGCATCTGTGCGTGGACCACAGGGCAAGATGTTCTCGAGGTCCGTGAGTGAGGAGTACAAACGCCATCTCATCGACCACTTAGGAAAGAGTGAGTTGAATCCCAACGTGATCTTGTTTTCGCTTGCACTGGAAGCCAAGATGCAAGCATCTGTCCCCACCTTAGACCTGGAATAGTTTAAATGGCACCCGACTTACCAGTTCCTCAAATATTTTGAGCATTTCCTTCCAGCACCATATTCACCTGAGGCATTTCAAAGTACTCACATTATTAGATTCTCTTCTCCTAAGTCAGCTCTTAGGAAGCCAGTTTTGGTAACTTCTGTGTGCCTTGAACAAGAAACATTTCATCCAGATTTTCTAATTTCTTTCCTCGTGGACTTCCACAACCTACTTCCAATTTGGAAACCCAAATATGGGATAAATGGTGCCTCCTGTGTCCACAGCTGTACTCCTGCAACAAACTAAAAGTTGCTACCTGCCGGATCGGCTCTCAGGAGCACCCCAGTCCTGGAGGAGACCCTCTTGGGACACCCATGCCTTCATCCTGGCCCTGTACTAGCCCTGGGACCAGCCACAACTCTTTCTCCTTGGAGGGACAGTACAGCCTTCCCCACCTTCCTCTGGCAAGTCTCTTTCCTGGGTGGCTGTGCCGCATCAGCAAGGGTCTGGACTGTCGGGAACCAGGGTTGATCCTCAGCCTCCGGCTGTGCTGAGATGGCCTCCCTGGCAGAGCCCAGCCTGCCGAGTGTCCGAGTGACACTTGCAGCCACCAGGGAGGAGGGGATAACTTTCATAGGAAGACTCCACCAGTTTATACTTGTGGCCAACTAATGTTAAATTTTGTCATTCTTAATAATTTTTTATAGCAATACTTCTTGCTCTTGATGTCTCAGTACTTTAACTAAAATGCTCATAATTTCTATTGGTAGATCCAAGGATATTGTTATTATTGTTGCTGTCATTATTAGTATTTTAAAGTACCATTTGTTGAAAATCTATTATTTGCCAGGTACTGTAATATAATTTATCTTAAAACTCCATGGAGAAGAGATTGTTATCAAACTGAGGTTTATGAAGGATTATGTCTCTTGCCCAAGGACATATATGGCCTTCAACCTTTGGATTTAAAACAGTGGAAGGGTAGAGATTAAAAGCCAAGTCAAAGCCCACACTCTTTGCCACTACCCTGTACTCATCTCATGCGCCTGCTAATCCAAGGCTTAGTTTACATGGACTCTGGAGCCATTAGTCCTTAAAAGTTTATTAGACACACAAAGTGAGAGCATCTTTATTTATTTATTTATTTATTTATTTTCCAGGGGGAAGATTTGCCCTAAGCTAGCATCTGTTGTCAATCTTCCTCATTTTTTCTTCGTTTTTTTCCCCCCAAAGGCCCCAGTACATAGTTGTGTATAGTTGTAAGTTCTTCTGGTTCTTCTATGTGAGCCACCACCATAGCATGGCTACTGTCAAATGAGTCCTCTGGTTCTGTACCTGGGAACTGAACCCTGGCTGCTGAAGTGGAGCAAACTGAACTTTAAATGCTAGGACATCAGGCTGGCTCTAGAGAGCATATTTAAAAGTGGGGAAAACAGAACACGTTTTTGAAATGGAGAATCCTTTATTTGTAATTCTTTCCTCCTTTAATTCCAGTGGAGAATTTAGAGCCCCATTCTCTTCCTTTCAACTTTAACTGTTACAGGCTAATAGATTCATTAAGTAATTAAGCCCCATTCTTCACCCAAGCCCTGCTCCCTGCCTTACCAGGAACAGGGCTGGTGGAGAACACAGGGGCGCCCACAGGATTTGAGCCTCTTTCTAACTTTTCCCTTTTGTGGTCAGCTCACAGTAACTACCAGTTTTTGAAGTCCTTACTGTATGCCAGCGGCTATGCTATGCTTTTTATATAGGGTATTTCATTTCATTCTCACAACAACCTTATGTCTACACAAATAACCAATAACCATTCTATAGATTAGAGAGATAAGCTGAGTTTTACTTGAGCCAAGTTGAGGATTATAAGCTGGGAAGGCAGTTTCCACAAAGGAAGAAAATGTTCCAGAGAAGCAGGGTTTACAGTACAGTTTTATAGCTTTTGAGAGCAAAGAACATACATTAAACATGCCCAGGATACATACTCATCAAAGTTTCAAAGAGGTATTCAGTTACAAGTTAGCAGGTCAACCTGACCCTGATGTCCAGGAAAGGGAACTTATCTTCAGGAGTGCTGATATGGGTGCTACTGATAGGGAATTACTGATACTGGTGATACTGGCTGATACTGGCATTGTAGGAGGGGAGCTACGCATTCTTGCAAGAGAATGCATTCTTTAACAGTTAAAGCAGATGTACAATGTATGTTTGATAGGCAGTAAGTCAAGCTTCTTTAGTTCAAGCCAAATCAGTTTTGAACCAGAATAGCTACCCAATATACTCAATATGTGAAAATCTCATGTGACTAATGAAGTAGGTATTGATATAACTCACATCAATGAAGTCTGAGAACAGAAATTGAGCAGCTCCCGAACTAGAGCCCAGGTTGGTCAGACTCTAAAACTAATCTCCACTCTACATTCTAAATTTTTATTGAATCAATACATGATTTCTCTTGCTCCTATTTGGTAATCCAATTTCAAGATTTCAAGACTCCATCTCAAGATGTCTACAGATGAAGCCCATCAGATGGAGGCCACCAAGAACACATGAAGCTGGGTACCTGAGGGTTACTGCAAACATTCGATTCTTTTCACCTTGTTCCCAACACAGACATAGATGAAAAGAAGTTAATATTGTCAATTTGCTGGGTTTTTTTTTTGTTTGTTTAACTTGAGGGGTGACTCAAGGGTCACAGGGATTTATAAGCTTATTTTGCAGAAGAAAAACAATGCCTTCATTTTTGTTACTTTTTATTTTATTATTATTATTTTGGTGAGGAAGATTGTCCCTGAGCTAACATCTGTGCCAGTCTTCCTCTATTTTGTATATGGGGTACTGCCACAGCATGGCTTGATGAGCGGCACACAGGTTCATGCTCAGGGCCTGATCCCATGAACCCTGGGCTGCTGAAGTGCAACATATGAACCTAACTGCTGCACCACCAGGCCGGCCCCAAGAATGCCTTCAATGAAGTTACAATCACCAGATAAACAGCCCCTGGCTGCCCTCGATGCCCAGATGTCAAATTGCCCAAGGGGTTATCCGGAATGAAAGGAACACCACGGATTTCCCCTTTGTTTCTTTGAAACTCCTCCTGCCAACCCCCTTAGCTTATAAATCCCCCACCTTCCTCTCTTTGAAGGTGGTTTTGTGAGAACTTGTCTTCCTCCTCCTTATTTTGGCCAATTTTAATAGATCTTTCTCTGCCTCCAGGCACCCATGTCTCTGTGTTTGGCTTACTGAGCACAGCACAGGATCTTGAGATTAAGAGGGTTGGTATCACAAGTTGAAGTTAAGCAAAGTTTGGTTTATTTACTTGCTGCTGCAAGGGAGAACATGAGGCCTCTCAGGGAACCCTGGGGAGTCTGGGCACAGAGACCTGAGAGGGGCTCACCTCAGGGTGTGGGCCCTGCTGGATGATTCTGGGGAGGGACCCAAGAAACAGGGATCAGCTCTGGATTGTTGTGGTCATGAGGCAGGGACAGTTTAGCAACTGAGGTTTCTCTGTAGTTGTTCTGGAGGCAACAGGAACAAAGCAGAGCAGGGGATGTCACTGGTAAAAAACAATAATCCCTCCAAAGGAGGGGGCTGGATAGCCTGAGGAGAAACACTGCTTACATGGCCCTGGCTTCCTCCCAGGGGAAACATTATTTTAGGTTCTGTTAGGAGTATTCCAGTCTGATTACCTGTTTCCTTGGAAACTGCAAACTAACAACCTCTTATCTGAAGCTCTGGTTGGAAATTGAGATGCATCTCTGTGTCAAAGTAGCCCAGAGGTCTGAGGTCTTGAGCAGGAGTGAGAAATTCCATTCTCACTGACAGCTCCAATGGCAGTTTCTCATAATCGATGACAGCATTTTCCAATAGAAATATAACGTGAGCCACAACCACGATTAAAACTTTTCTAATAGTCACATTAGAAAGAAACAGGTAAAATCAACTTTATTGAGATATATATATATATATTTTAAAATTTTACTTTTTCCTTTTTCTCCACAAAGCCCCCCTGTACATAGTTGTATATTCTTCATTGTGGGTCCTTCTAGTTGCGGTATGTGGGACGCTGCCTCAGCGTGGTCTGATGAGCAGTTCCATGTCCACGCCCAGGATTCAAACCAACGAAACACTGGCCGCCTGCAACGGAGCAGGCAAACTTAACCACTCGGCCATGGGGCCAGCCCAACTTTATTGATATATTTTAACTCAATCTATCCAAAACATTATTATTTCAACACAGAATAAATACAAGGAAATATTAAATTAGATATTTCCCTTCCTTTTATTGTTCCTATCTTCAAAATCCAGTAAGTAGATCTCAATTTAGACTTTAGACTTTCAATGGAATAATTTATTTGTATATAGATGTCATAAAATTTCCAGTTGAAAAGTAAATTCATATACCCAAGTTGTTCCAGACATACGTAAGAATTTTTCAATAACTGAACCAAGTGCCATTTTGTAAATTCAACTTTAAACTACCCAAGATTAAATGAAATTAAAAATTCAGGTACTCAGTCACACTACATTTGAGGCGTTCATTGGCCACGTGTGGCTGGTGGCAGCCATGTTGGACAGCTCAGGTCTATGATTCCAGACAACAAGTTTTCTCACCGCCATGCCCTTAATGGTAAATAACTGACAAATAAAAATGGCAAGCAATAGGATATATTGGAGAATATGAGGAAGCCATGTGGTATAAACCTAATTCGGCCTTACCTTGTCTTGCCAAAAGGGCCTGACCGAGGCCGTTGAGCATGCATTGTACATCTGCTTTAGAGATTCCCTATGGCAAGAGCAAAGGCCCTTGAGATAAAGGTGCAACCTCCCTCCCCCTCCCAACTTTGGCGTCTCCTTAAGGATTAAGCATCTTTCCTTAGGCTAGAAACTGATTGCTGTGCTCACCTGTGACTTCCCAGCTGGAGACAACAGACT